GGTCAGCCACTAAACATGCAAGCAGTTGACTTCAAGTTACAACAATATGGCCTTGAGAAAAACTATTTGGCATCAAGCGAAGAGGGCCTCACCAGAATATGTGCAGGGCAGATTCTCGCAGGTTAACGCTGTCGGAGTTCACAGAGTCAAACAGAAACTTGAGCACCTCTGGCCACTGGTTGTTCCCATCGTCATCTGCAAGAAAGAATACAACATTAATCACAAGATCAATAGTGGTAATATTGACGTAACAATGCCACAACTTCACAGCGGTTTTATTGAATCTCTAGGGGAGCTTTACCTATGAGGTTGCGCGTGAGCTCGGCTGCGATGTCGCAGACCTTCTTGCGGATGTTGGGCGAGGTCTCAGTCTGGATGCTGGTCAGCAGCTCCGTCTTGATCACCGTCTGCATCTCCAGGGTCAGACCCGGGTAAATCTCCTCAAAGGACGAGGACAGCAGACGCCGCAGCAGCACCGCCGCCATCTGTTTGACCTGAATGGACAACAAATGTTTGGTTTTAACATGACATCGTGATTTTCTTTATGGCCGCAAATGAATCACTGTTGATTTGGAGACAGATAGGCTTTTTTATTAAATTTGATCCAAATTTTACTAGATTAACACCATGATTGTATTAAGTGTCACTGGGCAACAGTGTAACGGAACTTTAACAGTCAATGTTCATTGGCAAAATAAATAAAAAGCCTGGAGCATCCCAGAAAGGCAGAGTCACTCTCCTTGGGCAAGGCACCTCTCTGCCGGCTCCCATTACAAGACTCTAAAAATATCAGCCTCCAGTTAAAGGAAAGCAGAGGAAGCACGAGGGGCCAAGCAGCTGTTATACTGAAGAGTAAGCGTAACTTCCCAAATGCCCAAACCATGACTCATAACGCGCCTTAGTGTCAGGCCGGGGCGAGGGCCCCGTGTAATGGCTGGACTACATTTTTGAAATACCGTTTATGTGGCACCTTTCTCAAAGTGGAGGCATTATCTATGTGGGTTAGAGGGCCCACAGATACGTCAGAGATAAATGTACAAACCTCTTCTGCAGCAGATACATCTCGGATGGCCTGCAGCAAGAACGTGATCTTGGTCTGGCCCACGATGGTGTCATAAGCCTCCTGTAAAGAACATGAATGGACAGTGGAAAGGGTTAGACGGGCCTTACAGATACACACTGAGCACCGTGAAAAATTAATCTCAGTCCAAGAGAGTGTCATGTTCACTTTGTGGCCGTCACAAAGAAATTGCATGTTTTACATGCCTGTAATTCCACGCTGAAACACATGCTGGTTCACAATTCCATCAATCTTTGTGAATTAAGAAACATGGGTGTGGCTTTTCAAAAGCTTGTTTTATTTACTTTGTGTTCATGGCTTACTTGGACTGTAAAATAATAAGCTTGTAGTCCATTTAGGCAAACAATGATATTCAGGGGTAAAAGCATAATCATATTTGACTTTTTAACATAACTACATCTAGATTTGGGAATTAACAATGTTGAAATATATTAAGGCCACAATAGGAACAAATTGCTTATTGCAGTTCAGACACTATCCTTGTGAAATGTATCATGACGCAGTTGATTTGTCTTCAGTGTTGTTTCATTAAAACCACAAAAGACATGCAAACACACATGATGCTTCCTGGGGATGAAGAGGAACTGTGTGCTCTGAAGAGAAATGTCAGATGATCATTTGCATGTGGTTCTAATGGTAAACAACTCTTTGGCTAGATTTCTGCTTGGAAAAAAACTTGATTATGTGACCATTAAAGTTCGTAAATGGATTCCCAGAGTTCACATTTGCATGGCAAAGGCCGAGCAGGGAGGATCAGCTTTGTGGCAACAGTACAGTATGTTGGCAGAGAAACCTGATTACTGACCAAACACATTTAAAACAAGGCATTAACATTTCTCATAACAATCCGATTCCTAAGTCTGCTGGCTCACTATTATAATTATCCTTAGATCAACTATCATTCAAGGGATTTACTTATACATTGATAAAGTGCCATCTTCACTAGCCCAAGCTAAAACTCCCCAGATATAAAAGAGTAAAACTGAAACTTTAATACAATGGGGACACTTTAGGTCACTTCACAGCTCTAAGACTTAACAATACATCATGGCTTGCTATCCTTATCATGTATTGAATAGAGTTAATCAAGCATCTGGACACCTACAAATGTGTTGTCAATGTGGACGTGTGGCTTTAAAGTCCTCTACACATGGATCAATTCCTATTGTGTGTGCAAGACAGAAAGGGAGAGTTGCTATAAAAGGATGAATTCCAATGAGCTTAGTATCGGGGCAGACAGTGTGTGGTTTTGTAAAGAAAAACGCTGACTGCTAGTGTGATAAGATTCAACTACCTCATGCAAAAGTCTGGTGCTGAATAGGTAAACTGGCAACAATGCTTTGAGGCTAATCGTGGTGGGGAAAAAGTGAATAGGCCAGCTAGACTCAGTCCAAACAAATCCTCTAGAGAAGCTAATCCTGTGAGTGGATCAGCTGAGACGAGCCTTTACAGATGACGTGACTGAAACTGAGATAAATAGCTTCACCAGTGTCATTAAACCAAAAAGAGAGTACGTTTAAAATGTTGATTTGAACTGAAGGCCATTGCATGAGCTAACATAGCTCGTCCTGTACATGTGTTTGCTCCCTCCCTCCCACTGCTTGTTATGTTGCTAATCAGTACACACTTAACTTATTACATGACATTCACGTTATCTTTTACTTCCTAAAGTCCTTTTTTAAATTCTTTAATCACTGTTCAACGATAGTTTGCTAGCTAATATAACCAAGGATGTATGAAGAAATATAGCGTTGAAGGAGGGACCCCGTTCATTTCTATGAGTTGTTCAGTGGCGCATGAAGCCATATTGCCCTGAGCAAAAGTACCCGGATGTGGGCCGATAGAGCATGCGCAGTTGAGTTTTCCCTTAAGCTTACATTTTTGATATTGTTCTTTGGTCTGTTTTTCACATACTTGTTTATTTTTGTACATGTTAACGTACATGGTAATAATAAAACCGACCCTATTGCAAGTCAATGGGGAAAAAGTACTTTGGGCCTGTGACATAAATTGTAGTACCACATGTTGGCCCTTGTACAAAAATGTGCTTCAATGTCCGGCACTTCAGTGAGTTAGCCTTTTAGCTTTTCATGCTACTTCCTGTTCCTCCACTTGCTAAGATGACTAGCTTCACATGTCAGCTGGAGAATGTGGGGATTTTTAGGCAATTTAGCTTTGAATCAAACCGACAGTGTGACACAAACACTGACAACTTACACAGTCTCTATATCAGTATGACGCAACATGGTGGAAGTAGTTAGATTTAAACCGAGCAGTAAACTCACTTTCAGCTTCACATTGCACGTGGGCTATAGAACCTGTGACGTGAAAGCTGCCTTGCGCGCGCGGCCAGGCTTGGTAGCTTAGCTGCTGCTAACACGATTTCACCAACTGACCGAACTTGTGAAATCAACCCCGTTTATTGTGGTTATCTTACCTCTGATTGCTTCCTGACGTTGTTGTCAGGGCTCATCAGGTTGCCCAGCAAGAGGTAGAACTGCTGCTGCTGCTGCTGTTCCGCCATTGCAGTATAGATCCCAAAAAAAAGACAAGCCGGGTGGAGAAGCGGCGAAATGAGCACCGGCAGAGCCTTGCTTTCTGCTTCGGTCACACAATGCTCCTAACGTCCCATTTGCTGTCTTTACTAACTCCACTCGTCACTGATTGGACCAGACGCCTGGGTCGAACGCAGCCTGTTGGCTCTCGCTGATTCTGAGTTCCTATTGGCTGGAATCCACACAGAAAAAGTGAATGCGTCGTTCCTGCTGAGTTCATAATGAATTACTAAAGCGCGGGAAATGACCACATCAGGACTTGCAAAATAATAGTGGTGCTGTGCTGTTGTGCATGTGTATTAGCAGTGGTAGAAAGTAACTAAGTAAATGTACTCAAGTACTGGAAAGTTCAATGATGCTGTACTTGAGTATTTCCATAAATGCAACTTTAGACGTATCCTTCACTATATTTCAAAGGGAAGTATTGTACTTTTTGCTCCAACACCTTTATTATATTTGACAGTTAGCTTAATTACTCAGTGGTTAATAACACAACCAGCAATTTCACTTAAATGCTATAAGTGTGTTTTGCCACTGGACTAATTTTTAATTAAGTATAGGTTGAATGAAGACCTTCAACCTGCAATGGATATTTTCATATAGTACAATTAATACATAAAAAGGTGGCCTATCTCATTACTTCTTCCACCTCATCTTGTTTATGAGTTGTTTATGAAATAGAATACCTAGACAAAACAGGAGAGTATAAATGGAGTAATTAGAAATAATTATGTATTATTTCTGCTTGTATTTGAATATCATGTGATGTCCCTCATATATAAACATATTTCCCACATCATTTACATAACTAAATAAAGGTGTGTTAACAGCATATGGAGTGGAGTGTGCACAGCATGTCCCAGTAGGTGGCAGCCAAGCTTTTCTTTTCAATGATTTTTGCAATGCATATCCAAGAACCCTTTTAACCTGTGCTCATGAAATCACCTGTAGCTGTGTGCAGGTCATATAGGCGGCAACATATCCAGAAGACATTTGGTGAACTTCGCCCAAGGTGTTCAGTAGATCTTTTTGTTGTCTTAAATTATATATGTCAATATCATTGCCCACGTTCTTTCTAATGCAATGCATGAAATTATCAACTGTATTATTGTAACGTTAGTGTCAAGGTTATGCTGTATATTTGTATCATTTTTTGGTTAACATAAGATAAACTTCCTCTATTGTTATTAATACAATAGCTGCTTATTTACATGCACAAGGTACTCCCAGTTGCTCTAACAGATATCTGCTGCTGCAGAGTTTATTACACACTGTGTCCCCTCTCTGGCTCCTGACAGCACCCCTGCTGGTCTGAAGGAAGCTTGTTATTTACACTCAGATCCTCTGCAGAGTCAGACCTCTGGATACCGTGAACCTGCACCATCTCCGTCTGAAACCCGACAACTTAACCAGCTGCAGGACACAATGCACCAAAAGTGAAAGGTAAGCTCGAGATTTACTTAGTTATAATTCACTTTATATCATTGGAAAGCTTGCAAAAGATAGAAGCCCACTTTCAATCTTTTTTGTTGCATTTTGCCTCGATGTTGATTGAATTTACACCGTTCAAAAATTAAGTTGTAATTGGTGCTCAGGTTGAAAACACTTTTGAGCTTAAAACATTTAACAAATCTAAAATCAGGATGCACACTTTACTTCGATGCACATCCACCAAGCAGGACTTAAAGAAGTTACGTTTATTTCTCAAAAAAACATCGTTACGCTTGCTCTGTCTGTGCAGAAATACAAACTTGCAAAATGCTAATATCTTTAAGTGAACTTGCATCGCTAACGATCCGTAATCAACCAAACAGTGCTTTAAATATCAACTTCTTGACGCTGCATTACAGTACAGCTGTGCAGAAAAGTAGTTTTGCATCATAATTAATGAACAAAACAACGCATTATTGTACATGCTGATAGACGATCAATTAACTGCCACGCCACATTTAAATAGAGATTGGCACACCTCTTTTAGTTTTGGTTTGCAAAAGTGCAATAACTATTATTAACATTTTTGTACTTTAAAAATGACAACATCAAGATGTATAATTTGCATGATAATATAAAACGAGCTGTTCATGATAGAGCAAATTAATAGAGTTGTTTCAGTATTTTCTTTCAGATTTCAGATAGATTTTTGTGTCCATTCTCATTCCTTGTCAATCATGTGTGTATTGAGACCCTTTTTTGATATGCCTGCTTATACAGGCACAATAATAACAGGCAGAGCAGTGGAGCAATAACACCTTTACTTTCATGTTTATTCAAGTATTTAAAGCTTTTCTTGAAATTCTCATGGTGTGTGTGCTACTTACTTTGTCAGGTTATATAATCTTTCTATAGTCTTTCCTCCCCTACATTGTTTTTGAAAGTAGATAATGAAACACACAACTCTCAACTTTAATCCGTTATGTTTCTCTTTGTTGTCAGTTTCTCATACTGGAGTAAAATCAATGTAAGTTAAAAAGAGGAAACATATATTTAGAGATTTAAAACTGTTCAACAACGAGCATTCATGTAGAAAATATCAGATATATTTACGGATAGTTTATAATTAAAGACATTACTGTACACTAGACTTATTTATTGTTGTATTTTCCACCACTTTTTAAACTTCAGCTCACGACCTGACTGGAAACAGAGCCCTCACTACATACAAGGTCTTACTGCTGCTAATAAATAACCCCCTTAATGGAAGTGGCATTAAATCATTAAACTGGACGCCTGAGAGTGTTACTCACAGACCTCCACAGTTACAGAAGAGGTCAGGCTGAAGTGGGAAAGGAGAGGAAGATGGATGAGGAGAAAAATAGTTTATTGCTGAGGATCTGATGGACAGACTCTGAGACTGTGTGTGTGTTTGTGTGTGTGTTTGTTTGTTTGTGATTTACCTTAATTTATTCAGGGAAGTTGTGTTTTTCCCGGAAAAAACGCCCCGCAGAAAACCACAGTCTTCCTGCAAAGGTGTATGAGGTTTCCCCATCTAGCACTATGGTTATAATACCATGAAAGTACTGGGAGAAGTAGAGCGCTAATTAATGTTTAATTTAAATGACTGTCAATCATCATGTGAGTGACAGTTTTGTAACGCTAACCCTAACCTTGACAAGAAATAGCTCAAACCAAGATCTCTCATTTCTACCTTTCTATTTCTATACAAGTAAATCAACATAATATGAAGTGTAAATAAGAGTCAGGCTATTCATGTTCTGCCTCTACGCTAAGCTATAGGCTAATTCAAAATATATATTTGGCATATTTCTTCTCAGATTACCATTTTCCCCAGAATGTCAAATAGTCCAGTTAACCAAGATAGATGCATGTTATTTCTTAAGTGTCCTCACTGTGTGTGCGTGCGTGCGTGCGTGCGTGTGTGGCTGGCTCCTGTAAGCACAGTTTTATTGCTCCAGCAGAAAAAGGTAAACCTCAGTGACTGCTGGGTTTTAAGAAATCAACACAGCCAGGGTTTGTTTACACCGGAGCGAGGTGAATGTTTAAAGCATTAAAAGTCAATATTTCTTTGTGACAACCCGAGCTGTTTCACAGTGGAGCGCTATGTGCAGGACAAGGCAGCCATTGAGAGCTGTGACGTGGAGGGGGGGTCAGGTGCTGGTTTTGGGGGTTAAGAGATGTTGGGGAACCACTGAAGGCCTCCTTTGCAGATTGGCATGGATTACTCATTACTGGAAATCACTTATATATATGTTTTTGCTAAAGAGGGTTTTAGCCTCTTTCGGCCATATTTTTCGGATCTATCCCCAAGTGTCTGTCAGGGACTGAACACATCATGAAATTAAGCTGATAATTATTCAGTCCATATGTTAATTTATCAAGGATGCTACACTTAATTAAAAAAAAGAAACTCATGGTCCTCTCTTTGTCACAGTGACTTTGAAAGCCTGTAATTAAAAGGCATTAAAATGGAACAAAAGCAGCCATTTGTAGATCCATTCATGTTTAAATTATACTATTCCCAGACTGAAATGATCACTACGAAAGTGAGGCAATCAAATATGTACAATGCAGCTATGCTTAAAGGCGTATAACAGCCACTGGATTTGAACATAAAGTGCTTAGAGATGGATGCATGATAAATAATTTTCACTTTTCAAAGGACGCTGGCACTTAGAGGCAATTAGAGGTGGCTGAGTGTGCTCTTTGATGCATTTTCAGTATCATACAAGGTGATATACTGTAGAAGTCATTGTCAGATAGATAGATAGATAGATAGATAGATAGATAGATAGATAGATAGATAGATAGATAGATAGATAGATAGATAGATAGATAGATAGATAGATAGATAGATAGATGATAGATATGCTCGCTTATCTCTCTGATGGCTGATACTGCTCGCTGGCTGGCTCGCTGATCTGCTACGCTGCTCGCTCGCTGCTCGCTCGCTCGCTCGCTTCATCGCTGCTCGCTCGCTCGCTCTCGCTCCTCGCTCGCTATCTCGCTCGCTCGCTCGCTCGCTCGCCGGCTCGCTGGCTCGCTCGCTGGCGGCTCGCTCGCTGGCTCGCTCGCCTGGCTCTGCTGGCTGGCTGGCTGGCTGGCTGGCTGGCTGGCTGCTGGCATGGCTGGCTGGCTGCTGGCTGCTCGACTCTCTCTCCTTTCCCGTTCCTTGTATCCTGTGAGGTAGTGAAAGTAGGCTGCAATATGTACGTTCATTCATTAAGTTGACAGCTTGGAGGATGTGTTTTAGCCCCCCTAGAGTCCACTGTTCTCTGTGACGATCCTGCTTTGGTTTTTCGCTCAGCCCCCTGTTGTGTCTCACTGTAATCATTCAGCCTGGGCAGTGACAGCAGGGCTGCACAAACAGAGCTGGAGGAGGTCATCCTGAAGTTTGCACAGGATCGAGCCATTCATCCTCCTCGGGGGGGGGGGGGGGGGTTGGTGCTGGCTGAGGCTGAGAGAGATGAATGTCCTGCTCTGTAAAGGTTGGGGATGAGGCGGGCAAGTGTTATTTGTCTCTTATGCTCCGCCAGGCACACAGAAGCTAAACGATCCTGTCGTTTTTCAGAGGATATGATTTATTGGCGGCATTCATTTCTGAACGGGGAGGTCACCTCTTCGCCCTCTCAGATTGGCACTTCTGTAGCCATGGCTGACTGGTGTCGCTGTCTACAGTTAAAAAACCTGTCATACTTCCTGCCTTAGTGAATGTCCACGCTGAGACAATACATATGAACATGACAGGTATTCTGGTGGTTTGAAAGTAAGCAAACAAAAGGACATTTATTCCAAGTGAAAGCAATATGTGCTGCATGAGTAACCTCAGCCAAAAGCATTAGACATAAGTAAACACAATTAACAACAGACACATGAAGAGTACACACAAATCAATTAGAAGTTGGATTAAAATCAACCAACCAGTAAGAGTTAATAATACATGTTAAATAAACCAACAGTTGACCTTTAAGCAATATTAAAACATGAGTTTAAACGGATAATGTGAACATATCTCCGTCCTTGGCCAGGCTTACCTTATTGTTTTATAAAAGCTCTCTTTTCCAAAGTCGATGGTAAAAAGATTTATTCAGATTTATCCCTCCGGAGGGCATTTTTGAAAAACGTTTACATTTTTCTCTGGCAGTTCAGTTTTGACCTTGGGTACAAGTGTATCTGTGATAAAACCCCAACATTTTTCGACTACTTTGACACAGAATCTGAAGTGATGCTTTGTTATTTAGGAAATCTAAAATAGCTCTCTACTTTGTTATAAATATAAATGTTAGGCTAAACCTGATCCTTCCTTTTCCTGGCGTTTATTTTAGCTTCTTACTGTGAATGCTGCGTTCAGGGATGGCACAATGTCAGCATGCCACCTACTGTGTTTGCATCCTGAAGTAAATATCACACCAAAAATAATGTATCTGTGAAGTTATAAAGTAGTATTTAAATGAACTTTAAGAACCTAAGTACGTTAAACTCATCAAATAGCCGACGTTTTTTACATTTTCCAGTAAACACTTTTCTGCTGCCCTCCAGTCATCTGTGATGGCCAGCAGGACTGGGTTTTCTGCAAACAAAATGTTTGTCTGAGCTAATTGCGTTTGTTATTGACTCTGCCTCCTCGTTCATTTGCACGTTGATGAGACTGCAGCTGCGCTCGACCAACACCAAGACTCACTTTGTATCCAAACGATTCAGGAGTGACCTCAGATCCCCTCGTATGCACTTAACTAGAGGCCAATAGTTTGCTCAAAAAGCTGTTGAATTGGAACCAAAAAGGGCTTTTATCCAAGATATCCTGATCTGACTACTGTACAAAACGCATCATAAATTAATGAGGATAATTCTGCAAGTGGGTATTTTGAAACAATGAAATACAGTCACATTTAAAACTTTAATGTAAGGATACAAGCTGTCTATGTGTCCAGTGCAAATTGACTCCAACACTTGAAATAAGGTGTGTTGAAGGAGATCTTTTGACATTTTAAATACATTTCAGTATTTTTTGGGCAGTTTTGGTCAATTACAAACTTAATCTGACCTAATTTCTCTACCAAAATCTTATCTAACAAGTACAATAACACAGAAGCACACCCTCGCACAGGGCAGACATCCCTCTCTATTCAGAGTTAAGTTTGCTCTGCACAAACAGGAATGCTTTGCTCTCCCCCCCTGCATCACACACACACCCCTTTACTCCCCCCTGCATCTCCCTACACACACACTCTGGTCAGCGTGCCACTGTGTGTCGATGTGTAACAACTTCTCTTGTTTCTCATGCCTCTCCCTCTCACCATGTGAAGGATCTGCTGCTTTGGATCAGTTTGGTGATGGTGAACAAGTGAGTTTATTTCCTTGCATATCTGTGTGTGTTAATGCACGTATAAAAGCCATGTGGAGGTTGCAATTACTTATTCTTTTGTGCTGTCCTTTCTGTCTTTGTGTCTAAGTCGCCCACTTTTTTGTGTGGCTGCTTTTTTCTATTTTTGCAGGATAATTTCTCCTTTAATGATCTGTATAACGTGACCCTCAACCTCTCCCTGCCCTCTTTTGAAACCCATCCTCTTCTCTGTCTCTGGAGACTACATGTAGCGTGAATAGACATGTGTTAACATTGGGGGGGGGGGGGGGGGGGGTGGGAGGGGTGCTCAGGTAATGTGTATGGGATATTTCCTTTGTTCCATCCGAGTGCTGAAACTGTCATGGGGATGGTTTGGGGAGAGGAAAGCCGAGGGGAGACGGAGAATCAATAGCCTCAGTCTGGATCCTAAAATGATGTCTGAATGACTTTAACCTCACTATTATATAGATGAGAAATGGTCCTTTTGTTGAGCAAGAGCCACATGTTGCACGTTGGGATACTAATGAATATTTCTGACTAGTACCTGGCAATTTATATTCAAACATTTGTAATTATTCTCTTTGTTTCCCCCAAAATAAGGGCTGGCTCTCCTCACAGTTAATAAGGCTGACTTACAAATGTGTAATTATTTTTGTGTTATTTCTATGGAGGGTGGGGTGTGATGAGCCATTGCTGAAAATATTAATCATGTCTGGCATCCAAATATTTTTCACACATATGCTTAGGACTTCATTTCATGGGAGGCTTCTCCATGACAACAGCACCAATTAGCTGTGATGGATTAATCATTGAAATACTGAGCAGAAAATACACTTGAAGACACTTTTAATAAATGTGAGGAGAGATTTGGATCACAGCTGAGGGAGTTAAAAACCATTAAAAAACACACATTTAAATATGAATAGCTTATTAATAAAAAAATGTTGCTATGCATCAAACAACATTTGTGAAGCTTATTATGTTTACTGTTTTTAAAGCCTCGCAGATGTTACATTTATCAGCCTTGGGAACATTTTTGAACTTATATAATTCTTTTCTTGGCCTTTCTCGCCATATGGAGTTTGCATAGTTGTCATGGAGATGTCTCAGTTGTCATCACATGACCTAAACATGGAGCATCAGTCGTGTGATGACAGTATATGGTTTGTAGGCTCTGTGCAAGCATCAGTTTAAGATCAGAGCGCTGTGCAGTCAGTTGTTGTCTGCAGTTTTAAGTCGGATTTCTTAGTGTCCAAGGTTAAATGTATTCTTTTGTTCGTCCAAAACCCAAAGATATTCACGTTAATCTGATATAAAACAGAGAAAAAACAGTAACATTTCATATTTAGAGGCTAAACCTTATTTATTAACTATGAGTATTGTTCATTCAAGTTTTAGGAGAAACATTATCTGACTTTACATCAGTGTTGTGATGAATGCAGCTTGAATTGTGTGTCCACTTGGGGGCAGAGCTCAAACTAAACAAGCTAAGCTAATTGCAAGTTGTTGTATTTAATATAGCCCAAGTTTTCAGGGAGTGCAGAAGCCATGCATTTGCTTCTTCGCCCCAGTTGTGTCTCCGTGCAGAAAGCAGAATAAATGCAGCTGATGATAAGAGCGCAGAGGGAGATGAGATGAGAGCAGGAGATAGGAGGAGAGGGATTTCTGCAGCTGCATGCCTCTTTAGGATTCCTGCTCTCTACCTCCTCTAGCCGGGGCCAAACCGGCATCATTAGGTTTGGCAAATTACCCGAGCGGCCATTGTGGCGCAGCCATGGCACGTTAGTGTGTCTTTTTAACTGTGTCTAAACTCAGTCTATTCACTTGTAAAAGAGAGCAGCCATTGGCAGATAGTTGGCAGGTTGCACAGAGAGGCCATTCACCCCGGTAGGAAGGAGCTGAGAACACTGCCTCGGAAATGGTCCTCTCTGAATATTTTGATGGAAAGACTTTGGATGCCCTCTCAGTGTCCGTTTGCCCTGAATGAAATGACTGCATTAATATTAATACTTTAAAGGTGAAAGCAGGAGCTGCTGTTGCTACAGAGTTTTTAGTAGACGTTGTTGTTGTGTGAGTTATTTAAGGAGGAAGTGGAGAAAGGAATCCAAGGTTCTTCAGAGTAGGAGACAGGACGGGACGGGGGACGGGGGGTTCACTGTTTCTTTAATGATTTCTGGATGAAGTCCAAGTACACGAGAGTTTAGACAAGAGGCTGATATATAAAGGTCAAACGCTGGACCCCGTCCTTTTATTTTGGGTGCCATGGAGGAACACATTACAATGCGTCTGAATGAGGGAATAATTACGTGTAATTAATTTCCCTGTCATATATCACCTCGGTGAATGACGCTCACTTAACACGTACACCAGAGGCTCAGCATGCGCAGTTTGTAGCCGGTGTAATCCCGCTGGACGTGTTATTAAGCGTTTGTGCACCTATTGTCTTCAGATCACGACTTGTTATTCCCTATAAAAGCTGTTTTGTATGAAACGACTGAAGAGATTTGACTCATCGTGACAGAAGGAGAAGCAGCACCTTCACAGTGTCAGTGTGGCTGCCCTGTAGTAAGCTCAGTGGTCACATGGTCACAAAAGAGCTTCATCCATGCTTTACTCTCCATCGAATCAGCTCATTCATAAATAAGCAGTGTGGGTTAAAGGTATCGGAGTGACACACTCACCATGGGAGGGCCATCCCTTTGGCTCCTGAAAGACTGCAACGTTCTTCAGTTTGTCAGAAGACAAAGCCAAGAGTGCTTGAATAGAAAGTTCTTGAAATAGAAAAAGGGAGCCCCACAAAAAAAAGACTCAAATTCCATGTTGCTTTTATTCTGTAAGCATGCTTTAAAATCTTAAGATTGCATGCAGTCACACAAAAAAACCACTTGGAGATTTGCTAACCCAGCTCTAAAGTGTAAAACCTGTTATCTTCTATAATAAAAAAGGTGAATTTGAAGAAGAACGCTTGTGAGAAACGATGAAAACATTCTAATAAACTCTATATTTCTGCAGAGAGGGCCATTTGATGGATATGCATAGCAGGAACAGTTCTCCTATACAGGGCTCGCATTTATTTTAACTGACGCCCCTGCAACAAATCACATGCAAGTGATAAATGTCAAAGTGAAGAAAGAGTGACGGTGAACTATCTATGTATGGGCATAGGTTTTAAAGTTAGCAGTGAGTCTGCAGAAGTGATGGAAAACAGACACTTCTGCAGAGTAGGGACATGAAGGCACTTTATAATCATCACTTTGGTCAACACAACTCACTTTGACTGAGAGTTGGTTCTATATTTTCCAGAAGACAATTCAAAGAAGGCCTTGTTACCATTGCTCCAGGTGGCTCCAGTATAGTGTAGTGTGGTATGTATCTGTTTATAACAAATGCAATCCTAATAGTAGAATGAAATGGCACCCTATTATGCTAATTTCTAGGTTTCATAATTGTTTATGTACTGTATATATAATAATAACTTGTGGATGTTAGCCTTTGCAGACCGTTTACATGCACAAAAACCTATATAACACACTACAGGAAAGGGAAAACCCCCAAAAGATGTTTAATTGTTGGCATTTAACCTAAGAGTAATCTAAAAGTGTAACAAACTTTCAGCACCTTATTTATTTCTGTGTATCTGTGAGTGACTTTAAGTGCCCCCCGTGAGTAATGACACACACTAGTGAGGGAGATTAATCACAAGGCAAACACAACTGCTAAACTAAACATGTCATAATTTCTGCTTTATTGACTCAGTGAAACTTTCTGCACGGTGGCTGTAAGAGGGTTAACATCCTGCTCTGTGTGCAGGTCACATGTTCGCTCCGTGTTCCTGTGCTTTTCCTCCCACAGTCCAAAACACACACAGGTCACATGAATCGGCCACTCTGTATGTCTAATCTCCTCGCAGGTTGTTAAAGCTTAATGGTGTTTTTCCAACACGGGCAGCGACATGAATGAATGAATGTTCTGACATGGTTCCAGGAACACAGGCTTAGATGTTTTTCCGCCTACTTTTCCTACAGGTTTTGCTCCAAAATCAGGAAAATCTCGGCTTTATTTTTATTCTTAAATGCTCAAAAGTTAGGGGTACATCTATTTGCAGTGTTTATGTCCACATATTTATATATTACTACAGTAAACAGTATTTATTCTACCCTACAGTATTACATTTGACATGCTTTTTTGGTCTTGTTTTATTTTATATGGACACAATGTTCATATTCCTGCAACTTACTCAAACCATTTTGCCTACTGCACGATCATATTACACTATTTTATGTCTTTCACTTTTACGTTAAGTGTATCGTACGCTGCATTGTTGGAGGATTCTGGCACTTTTTGAGATTTTCATTGCAAAAAAAACTACGCTATAAAGACAAATAAGGCCTTTAAGTCTTTGGAAATCATTGAAATCCAAAGTGAGAATCTGCATCTGAACATTTCCTCCTGCCCCCTGAGTGAGAATCTGAGTGACATGTGGTGCTGCCCCCCGTTCATTGTACTTAATAAAAAGTCCCAGAGCACCAGGCCTCTCGCTGGCCAGCCTTTGCACCGTGAGACGAGCGCGGACACATAACAAAGGCGAGGCCAGTGGTGGAGGCTCGCTGCTGTCGCCTCATTAAGCAGCAATGTCAGACCCAGCAGGTTGAAAAACCTCTGCCTGCACAAACACTCTGACAGGCAGACATTCAGCGCCTCCATTCTGCAGGGAAACCAGTCTGAGGGGGAAAGGAGAGCGGGAGAAGCTAGACAAATCTGCTCAACTCAAGTTCAGGATAACTTGTTTTTATGCAATAAATGGTGCAATACGTTTAAAATAGAGTATGTGGTGGGTATGTTATGCTTTAAACAAGTTAATCTGATAATAAGAGACTTTTTAATTTGAAAAGCAAATGTCGTCTGCTTTTATAACATTCTTTAAAGTGTTATGGTCTGCTTCATAGTCAAAAGTGTTCTCTAATACCATAACTCTGAGGCTTTAAAATGTGAAATATGGTTTCTTTAGTTTGTCCACAACCTTATCAAGCATTGCAATGTTTTCCCTCCCAGAAAAAACTGACCTGGAATGTTATCAGTAAAGTAGGCATCCTCCTTTTGTCCTGTATGTCAGTGTGTTCGCACAGTGGTGAAAAGAGCTCCATTTGCCAGCTGTCTTTTACCTGTTGGAGTTATTTGGCATCATTGAGCGATCTTTCTAAGATTGCTTTCTCAGCTTTCTACTACAGGTTGTTTGACTAAATGCTGTAAAAATAAATGAACCCAGGGTGTAAAAAGGGACTTTTCTATGACCCCTGAGCCTACTGTCATCATCATCATCAAATGTAATGTACATAAATGGGTTTTGATGTCGACACAAAGACTCTTCATGTGGCTCACGGTTCAGCCCCGATTCTGAAAAGCTCTCCTCAGTCACACAGATCTCTGGTGATGGCACCCTCTGTCTGAGAGGCTGCATTAGAGAGATTGTCGGCTCGGGCCTTTTGAGGCGAATTAGCCATGACCGAGTCCTGCTGACACTGAGAGCAGACGGACAGAAACTCCTCTGGGTCGGGGGGGCAGACAAAACTCATTTAGATGGATGGACAAGCGAGGAAGTGTGTGAAGAAGTGCAAAATATTGTATATGGATATTCGTATCTACTGCTGGTGTTTACGTTGTTTGTATGGGTCACTAGACTTATTTATAGAGGCATCGGTTGATATAACCTTTTGAGTATTTTGAAGAACTCCATGATCTTATACACACTGCTTTTTATACCATAACTTTCCTCTAGAGCACAGTAGACTGAAATGATCTCACATTGTATTGCACCTAGAATGCATTTTAAATCAGGATTGTGAAGTAAATCAAATCGTGAGATAATGAGACCCCACTACTAATTCGTTTTTCTTCATCCTCTGTGTTTGATTCTCGCTGGAATTTAACTGATATCTCCTGTGCTCCATCAGGTGTTTCCTGAGGACCTGAAAGAAGACTGGATGTGGTTGTAGCTATGGGTGAGTCAGGGTGGGGGGTGCGGTCCCTCTCCCCCTGTGGCCTGCTGCTGGTCGTCTGTGCGTCCGTCTGTCTGTCCCAGCAGCCCAACATGAAGCCAGCAGAGTGCAGCAGGAAGGAGCATCCTGTCGTCTCTCACCAAGGTCAGCTCATCAGGATACATCTGCTTTAACTAGACTTACACTAAACTCTTTCCTCCCTTTACTTCTATCCACAGTTATAGCAACACAAGGCAAACGTCTTGGCCTTCACATCAGATATCCAACTAAAAGACAATCATTGGTTATCTATATTTTTGTATCTTTAACTAGCTTTGTTTTATAGCAGCAGTCGGAAAAAATATTTGCTCCTTTTAGAATACCTATCTTGTGAATCAAATTAAACATCAAATACAAATCTCTTTTGACTACAAATAGCTCATTAAGAGGAGTAAGTGCTACTGAACAAATATCAATATCCACCTCTATTCACCCATGAATAGTTAATCACATCTTTTCAATGTCTCAGCCTGATTCATATTTGCCACAAGACTTCCTAACGCTCTAATACTTTCCTCAGCCTATTTAAAAAACCAAATCTTCTCTGTATTCTCGGTGTGTAAAGACTTACTGAGATGAGAGGCTGCAGGATCAGGTGATACACAGGAGAGAAATGTGACACATCAGTAAAAACACTGAGGGCTTACATGAGGCTGTGAGCCAGGTACCATTTGGTGGAGAAAAGTTCCCACGCACTTCAGGAAATGTCTCCTCATCCTGATGCGTTTTCTCCGTGCAGCGCTGAGGCCGTGGATGTTCGAGTTCTCCCATCCAGGAGTGAAGGATTACTCCCAGCTGGCTGTGGACCTGAGCAGGAACCAGCTGATTGTGGGAGCCAGGTGACACATCACATTATATTAGTGCAATCAAACATAAGGAAAGAAACTCAGAATTGCTTTATTCATGCAAGTATATTCGCTTTAAATAAGCCAAATCCAGTGCTACAAAAATACATGTGTTTATGTGTAGACTTTCTGTTCTTCTGATGTAAATTAAGAGCCAGTTCCACTATCTTTTGCAGAAAAACTACTCCTAAGGCAGTCAAAACTTTAACAGCATCACGTCATCATATGTTGCTATTAAACAATGTTGTAAAATATATTTTCATGATGACATTTGACCATATGCATTGCTTATAATTTCCTTTGCAGTGTTTGTGCTTCACCTCTAATATGAAATCTCTTTTTACAGAAACTTCCTCTTCACACTGAGTTTGAGCAACGTCTCGCTCATACAGGTAACATCAACTTGTCCTACAGTATGTGTTAGTAATATTGATTGTCTTGCTCCCTAAAGATGTGCAAAATATTCATTTATTTGTGTCCCTCAGGCGACAGAATGGGCACCGGATGAAGACACAAAGCGCTCATGTCAGAGCAAAGGGAAATCAGAGGTGTGTGTTGTGTGTCTTATAATACAGAAGTCTTTATTCAGAATTTGTCCATTTGTATTTATGACTAATCATGGTGTGTGTTTTTCTGCAGGAGGAGTGTCAGAACTACGTCCGGGTTTTGTTGATCAGCGGGATGACGCTCTTCACTTGCGGCACTAATGCTTTCACCCCCGTCTGCATGACCAGGCAGGTTGGTACAAAAGATTAAAAGCATGGAATAAGAATACTATTTACAGCTCAATCACCACAGGATCAGAACATGTAAAGCCTTTTGCAAGTTGTTTTCTCTACTGTAGGGACATTATTGCAAACCAATTGCTGCATTGAGGTAGGAAAACACATTGTGCAGTCATTGCGTTTACCCCTGTGTTTACTCCTCTGTCAGGTGGGTAACGTCAGTGTGGTTTTGGACACGGTGAACGGTGTTGCCCGGTGTCCGTACGACCCGCGGCACAACTCCACCGCCATGGTGACGGAGCGAGGCGAGCTGTACGCCGCCACGGTGATCGACTTCTCGGGACGCGACCCCGTCATCTACAGGAGCCTCGGGAACATGCCGCCTCTACGCAGCGCTCAGTACAACTCCAAATGGCTCAACGGTAAAAAAATTGCCATATATGAGCGAGATGTTCAATAAAACAGTTGCTAGTTATGCATACTTTTAACTTAAGTACATTTCAAAGCCCATACTTCTGTACTTTTACGTGAGTAAAGAATTCAGTACTTCAACTTTGACCAGAGTATGTTTAAACACGAGTATCTGTACCTCTACTAGAGTGAAGGATGTGTACTTTTTAACTGCTGGACTACATCCCTTTTTCCTCCTCTCTTGTGTGTTTCAGAGCCTCACTTCGTGTCGGTTTATGAGATCGGTCGGTTCACCTATTTCTTCTTGAGAGAAACAGCGGTGGAGAACGACTGTGGGAAGGTCGTGTTTTCTCGCGTGGCTCGGGTCTGTAAGAACGACATGGGGGGTCGTTTCCTGTTAGAGGACACGTGGACCACCTTCATGAAAGCCCGACTCAACTGCTCTCGCTCTGGAGAAATCCCGTTTTACTACAACGAGCTGCAGAGCACCTTCTACCTCCCAGAGCAGGACCTGATCTACGGCATCTTCACCACCAATGTGTGAGTAATCTGGGATTATAAAACATAATATAGGTTAGGTTTTTTCATACACTGAATCCCCCTCTTCTCCCCTTTAGGAACAGCATATCAGCTTCTGCCGTCTGCGCCTTCAACCTGAGCGCCGTCACTCAGGCCTTCAACGGGCCGTTTCGTTACCAGGAGAACCCCCGCACCGCCTGGCTCTCAACCCCAAACCCCATACCCAACTTTCAGGTAACTCACATATTTAAACAACCTGGATCCACATATGCATTTTTCTCTGACAATGTGGCGTTGATAGCTGTACAAATGTGAGCCTTCCCTCCAAGAAATGGTGGCATTTTATCTTGATGTGTGAAAATAGAGAGTATATTTTGGTGAGAATAGCACACAGAAAACAGCTCAGCTCCATCCTAGGACTTTTACTTATAACAGAGTATCCCTACATTTAGGTATTTCTACTTTTACTTAAGTACAACATTGGAATACTTCTTCCACCTCTGACCTTCACAAAGGTATTTTGCAGCTCGTGCTCCTAGGTTGGAAACAGACTAATCAGTTATATAAGCAGGAGGGTTTTGTTCAGGCGAAACCTGCAGACTCGTTAGGGAATAATTTGCTTAGGTATTCAACCTTCGACACAGTTCATCGTTTTCTCTTCTCACTGTCTCCTTTCCCATGGCATAGGTCTACGGCCTTGGGTATTGCTGCTATCTCTCTTAAGGAGGAGCAGCTTGGGCGCATTGTTGTTGCCAGTCTATGACAGAGCACAAGCCGCCATGAGGTCGTTTACTGTTCAGGGACGTAGGTTCCCTGGCGCACATTCTTTCCTATGGACGAGAGCTCTAGTTAGATTCAGGATCCATATTTGTTTAGTCTCGCTGATGAAGAATGTTGATTATTACACTCCGAACTAGTTAAAACCTCGAGCTGTTGAAGAGTTCTTCAGAATTGGTTTGGCAACCGCTGTCAACTCGTGACACACCACCTGTCTTGTCAGTTCTCCAGCTGAAACTCCAAATAAACCGTCAGTGTTTGCCATCAAAGCTCCAGCTCTCCTCGTGTCTCTCTGAGACCTGTTTCCAATTGCTTCAGAAGTTTCCCCCCCAATAATGATGTTTTGAAAACACGTCTCACTAATCCCTCAGTGTGGGACGCTGGAGGAGGGCGGCCCGGGGGGGAACCTGACGGAGCGCAGCCTGCAGGACGCCCAGCGGCTCTACCTCATGAACGACGTGGTGCAGCCGCTCACCGTCAACCCTCTGCTCACTCAGGACAACCTGCGCCTCTCCAAGCTGGTGGTGGACATCGTGCAGGGCCGAGAAACCCTCTACCACGTCATGTACATCGGAACAGGTGAGCAAAAAAACCAATAAAGTCATTTAGTAAAGATAATTTTCATCCTATAACTTGTCTATCTTTACTCAGAATACGGCACCATCCTGAAGACTCTCTCCACATCCAATAAAAGTCTCCAAGGCTGCTACCTGGAGGAACTCAGGCTCCTCCCCCCGGGGAAGATCGGACCAATCAAGAGCCTGCAAATCCTCCACAGTGACAGATCTCTGATTGTTGGGCTGGACGACAGACTGGTGAAGATCCCGTTAGAGCGCTGCTCCAGCTATCCAAGTGAAGTGTAAGAGCCAAAAAAACTCAAACTGCAGCTTCAAACTCGAAAATACTTGATAAAAAGGTTGATTATCATAGCGTCCTTAAAGAGACAATAATGTGTGGGTGGCCAAGTCTCAAAAAGGTGAGAGAGATGATTATGTTAAGAGCCCAAACTACTTTTAAAATGTCAGTCCATATTTTGACAAATCTAACAGCAGACGTTACATAACCAGGCTTTTTATGAGTCTGTGGGTGCTACTTCAATATGTTGAAAACCTTTTAAAATACTGTGTGACGCCTCGCTATCAGTCTATCTGACAGCCCTATGGAGGTCTTCCAATACATATACAGAACATTATTTAAAAACAAGACGGTAGTGCAGAGAAACTTGATATTTCTGCAGCTGCAACACTTTAACTGACTTCATATCTTATATCAGACACTGCTTGGAAGCTCGGGACCCGTACTGCGGCTGGGATCTCAAACAGACACGCTGCACCACCATCGAGGGGAGCTCCAACATGAACCAGTGGACCCAAAACATCACCCAGTGCCCAGTAAGACACACACACACACACACACACACACACACACACACACACACACACACACACACACACACACACACACACACTCACACTCACACTCACACACACACACGGACGGACGGAGGGACAGATTTTTATTTTGTTATTTGTCTTTACTTGTAAATGCACTTGTCTTGTAACTTACCTTAACTAAAAGAATTTAAAAGTTAATTAAAGGGTCCCCTCTATCTCCTCTCTGGAGGTGAGGAACCTGACCCAGGATGGAGGTTTTGGTACGTGGGCGCCGTGGCAGCCTTGTAACCACGATGATGGCGAGGGATCCGTCAGCAGCTGTGTGTGTCGGTCTCGCTCGTGTGACGGACCTTTGGCCCGGTGTGGCGGCGTCGAGTGTAAAGGACCGACCATCCAGGTGGCAAACTGCTCCAGGTACAGTCTCTCTTTATGAACATTAATCAAACAAGGAATTATCTTCATCAGATACCCTCAGCTTTCTCAATACAGCCTTGGTCTTTTATTGTAAAAGTAGACAGACAGACAGACAGATATTGAGTCAGATATTGAGTCCAGATATTGAGTTAGATATTGAGTCCAGATATTGAGTTAGATATTGAGTTAGATATTGAGTCCAGATATTGCCAAAAGGCATTGATTGACCTTCTGCTCCTCAGGAATGGCGGCTGGACCCCCTGGTCCTCGTGGGGTCAGTGCAGCAGCAGCTGTGGGATCGGGTTTGAAGTGAGGCAGCGCTCCTGCAACAACCCCTCGCCTCGACACGAGGGGCGAGTGTGTGTGGGCCAGGGGCGAGAGGAGAGGTGAGAAACTATACATCTGCATCAGTGTGTTCCCAAGGAGGTAGCGATGTAGTCATTGACAGGTAGAAGAATTTCATTGCCATTTCTACACTGTAGCTTTGTGCATATGACAATATAACCTTTGAATCTTGAATCTGGCACATTTAAATTAAGTGCTTCTGTTAATTTATGCGCATTGTCCCTTCCCCAAATATCCCGACTGTGGATAGTAATGACGTCAGTGTTTGTGTTTTTAAGGCTGTGCAATGAGAAGAAGCCGTGTCCCCTGCCGGTGTCGTGGACGGCGTGGGGCCCCTGGGCTCACTGCAGCGCTGAGTGTGGAGGGGGGGTCCACTCCAGAACCAGAACCTGTGAGAACGGCAACAGCTGTCCTGGATGTTCAATGGTACTGGATATATGAAAAAATGCCAGTACATACAATATAATACAATGTACAAGGATAACAAAGCACATCAGTGAAGGTTTCAAGGCTTTTATTGTCATTTGTACACAGCTGCAGTGTAGTTATGACAATGAAAATCTGAGGTCACAGGCTCCTCCAACAGTGCAACACAATAAAACAGATAAAATAGTGCAAGTAAATACAAATTAAATTGAATATAATAGAAACTGTGCAGAATAGTCTATATACAGTAATTGGAATATTGATACATATGATATATATGAGTAGCAAACAGATTAATGTTATGTATGTTCTTTCAGAAGGGATACTGTATGATATGTTTCACATTAATATGGTTATTGTGCAGGAGTATAAGGCCTGTAACCTGGAGGCGTGTCCTGAGGTGCGGCGTAACACCCCCTGGACCCCCTGGATGCCGGTGAACGTGAGTCAGGACGGGGCGCGGCAGGAGCAGAGGTTCAGGTACACCTGCCGCGCGCTGCTGCCCGACCCCCAGCAGCTGCAGCTGGGCAAGAAGAAGCTGGAGACCCGGTTCTGCCCCAACGACGGGTCCGGAGCCTGCCAGACCGACTGTGAGTACAGGGCAGAGGTGGGAGGTAGTGGAGTACAAATACTTTGTTACTGTACTTAAGTACATTTTTCTGGTATCAGTACTTTACTCCACTACTTATTTTTCTGAAGACTTTTTACTTTTACTTCTTACATGACATTATTGTTCTATTAATATAAAGGGAGGTCAGGTACTCTTTAAAACAGCTGCTAGTTATGGGTACTTTTTACTGAAGTACATTTGAAAGCCCTCTTTACTTTTACTTGAGTAAAGAAGTTTAGTCAGTACTTCTACTTTCACCAGAGTATTGTTAAACCCGAGTATCTGTACTTCTACTTGAGTAAAGGATGTGTACTTCTACTTGAGTAAAGGATGTGTACTTCTACTTGAGTAAAGGATGTGTGCACTTTTGTCATCTCTGGTACTGGGAACAGGAAACTGCAGCTTTACAACTCCACCACTTTTCTCTGCTGTTGTTAGAAAATCTCAAATGTAGCCATGTTTTTTCCTCCTTTGTCAGTTCCCAGCAGGGGTTCTTGGTTATTACCATGGAAACACAGCTGGTGTGGTCATTACCTGCTGCAGGTATAAAGCCCGAGGCCACTTTAACCTGGGGATCATCAAATCTAATCAAATTCTTTTTATATAAGCCAATTTCACAAATTGCACATGTGTCACAGATGGCTTTACAGTGTGTATGAAACCCTCTGTCCTGAGACCCTGCTGTGCACAGAAAAACAAATAAGAAAACCTACAATTACCCGGGAAAAAATGACAGACGTGCGATAAATGTTGTGTGTACGCATTATTTAAGATAATTAAACTAGACCAAAATAAGAATGTATATAACCTCACTCCTCTGTACCTCTCCGACCTCCTGCACATCAACACACCCATCCGCACTCTCAGGTCTTCTGCTTGCCTCCACCTCACTGCACCCCCCTTCCGTTTAACCACCATGGGGTCCAGAGCCTTCAGCCGCTCTGCACCCCGCCTCTGGAACTCCCTCCCACCTGACATCCGCAAGCAACACTAACTCTCTCCCCATTTTCAAATCACGTCTCAAAACACATCTCTTCCCACTTGCATATCCACCCTGATCCATCACACATCCTCTGTTTTATTTATTTGATTGATTTATATACTGCATGTTTCTTATGCTGGTGTTATGTATTGTGTATCTTGTTTTTTATGTGTTTGTACGGCGACCTTGAGAGCCTTGAAAGGCGCCTATATAAAATTATTATTATTATATAAAATAAGAATTCAAAAAATATTCCAGGAGACGCCAAAATTCACAAAAACTCTGGGGTTTCAACGATGCTGAGTTAGTAATACTGTGGGTGTTTCTCAATCGCGAGTAAAGCTGCTTCAGAGCCACTATTTCAAGCATACTACGTCATCGAGTGCCGCCGAAGTACTGTTCCAATCTCCAGCATACTTGGAAATCTACCGATCCCGGCGTACTCCGTTTGGAGAAATATCGAGGCTGCATATGAGTAGACTCCGCGGTCTTAAAATCCCCACAATGCTTTGCGCACGGACCAATTTCCCCAAATCTGTGGCGGAAGATGTAAGGCGGGGCCTCTCATATGACGCACACCTGCACTCTTGCTAGCCTGTTCCACTTTTTGACTCGCTTCTGAAGCAAGATGCTCGGCAGACATGTGCTACCAAGCAAGCGTACTCGCGATTGAGAAACACCCTGTGACTTACTTTGGGATTATACCATCCTATAAGCACATGTTAGCCTGTTGTAACTCTAGAGACCAGTCTGTATATGGACTTGAATCTGCATGGGCATTTAAAAGTGCTGCTGGTGGACGAGATCCCAAAAAAACACAGCTAGTCTCTCTTTTATACAATCCTTCTTGTTCAACAACAAAGTCATCCCAGGTGAGGCTTTAACTCCAAAATAGGTAAAGCTGACAAGGTGAAAATGTAACTTCATTGTTTCATCTTAGGTTTTTGTCTCATCCTGAAATATCTCAGCTGTCCCCATGGAACGCCTCAGGAAGTGCTCCTCAGTTATATGTAAATCATTTCTCTTTGTGGATGGTGAAAACTGGTTCATTTTTCAACATGGCCCAGATTAGACCTCACTAATTAATGTTTCATAACAGGATGTCTGCATGGCGAGGTTTGTAAAACTCATTGAATGTAGAACTTTAGATTTTCTCACGACTCCAGAGGATTTACACAATCATTCATTTTTACCATCAAAACCATTTTTACCCTTTAACACAAGAGCGTCGGCAATGTCAAACCTGTACTTTATGAAGTTGTTAATGAATAAATCCAAAAATAAACAATAATTTAAAATGTGATATCGGCCATTTTGTCAAAACATAATCAACATCAAAGTGGTAAATATGATGTTTCTTTGTGACACTCCTTCAATCTCTTGATGATTGATACACTTATTTTAGGCATTTAGGATTTAGGCTTTTAAGAGAGTAACACATATTTAAAAAAACAAATATACATGTGTAGATATTTGTCATTTCAAACAACCCCTGTGTATTTTTTATTTTATTTTACTAATTTTGTTCGGGATTTAATTTGTCATTTTCAGGTCTCTAAAAATATATAATTTGCAAAACTGTACTTTTAATATAATGTGACCCCAAATAAATAAAGAATAACAAACAAAAAAATGCATTTTTGATTCTCATAAAGCAAATACAATGTTCTTTTCTGTGTGTTTCCAGCTCTGGTTGAAGACTTGGTGAAGACTAGCGGGCGAACTCCATCTCAGCCCCAAGGTGTGCGCTGGGGATTGTGGGAAACGTGGTCCAGCTGTTCTCAGCCGTGTTCCAGAGGCTTTAGGACCCGGAAACGAAGCTGCTCCACATCAGAGGGCCGGACCAACCCCAGCGCCTGCGTGGGATCACCTGTGGAGTATCAGGACTGTAACGCTGAGCCCTGCCCAGGTAACAGGAATTCAATCAGGAGAGACAGTTTTTTTATGTAACGAACGATATATATTTATTGCCGGGAATACACAGATGCATGTAATGGTGTTTGGCGATTAGACCCCGTTGTGCTGGAATATCAAAGTCAACATTGTATGTGTGTGTGCACATTACATAAATAAAGTGTATAATGTGTGTGTTGCAGTGAGTGGGTCCTGGTCCTGCTGGTCGTCCTGGTCCCAGTGCTCGGCCAGCTGTGGGGGGGGGCACTACCAGCGGACTCGGACCTGCAGCAACCCCCCCCCTGCCAGCGGAGGAGACATCTGCATCGGCCTGCACACTGAAGAGGCGCTCTGCAACACACACACCTGTGAAGGTAAATCAGCGTAGATAGATAAATACATGGATCCTGAGATTGAAGCTCAAGCCGGTGACGAGGGAGATTTTTCTCTTTGCTCTTCAGATTGGGGTGAGTGGACGGTTTGGGGGGACTGTGATGACGAGGGTCTGCAGCATCGCACCCGTCATTGTGGGGAGGACCAGGGGCTCGAGGGCGGTCTCTGCCAGGGGAACATCACCCAGGCCCGGCCCTGCCAGCCTCACGAAGTCCCCGGTGAGAACTGATATGCTGCTGATATGAGCTGTACAATCCCTCAAAACTGTAATCACACGCTGTAAATGCTTGTTCCCTCTGTGTAGAAACTAAAAAAAGATGAATTAATGGAGAGCACATTGAGAAAAAATGAACTGTTAATCATTTCTGTTGTTTGATCTTTTGGAGCTGCGGTGATTAAACTTCACTGCATCGATTTCTGTCTGTCTCTCTCCAGTTATTCTACCTGGGCAGGAGGAGCAGAGCTGTGGAAGTGAGTACAAACAAGCAGACACACACACACACACACACACACACATACACGCACACGCACACGCACACACACACCTTCATTCTGCCCGGGTTTCAATCTCCTGTCACATCCGCAGTTAATCAATACCACTTCAGTTAAATTGCTGCCACTGAACACCAAGTTTTTGTTGCAAAGTTACAGAGTTATTGGCTTTCTTCGTCACCTTCGTCCCACACCGTCTGTAGCACATCGATTTTGTTTGTGGCTTTTTCCCAATGTGACAGATTACTGGGAAAAGTTGTTGGTTGGTTTTTAAGCAAAGTTAGACAAGTGACATCAAGTCCTGTAATGATGCAGGAAGTCCAAGGATAGAAATATGATCATGTACTCACCTCACTGTTGTTATTCTTGGTGTGGTAAGGTATGATTCTTTGAGGAGGTTTCATAATAGTAATAGAGCTGCAATGATAATCAATTAATTAAGTAAGAGTAATCTTTCATATAAACATTTGCAGAAAAAGCTTTTATCCAAATATGGAAATTACCAGCTTATCTCTGTTACATATCATTAAAGAGTAAATGTATACATTTCCACTTCTGCTGTACACAAGTAATATAAAATCTGATAGGAACTGCCTTAGTCTCTTCCTCCCTTCCTGACGCTCTGTTTCCAGCCTGTTGGGATTCTTGGTGTGGTTATCATTTAGTAAATCCACTGAAGATTTTTCTTTGATAACTGTCTGATTTTCGTTGCAGGCTTGATCCGCCTTATAACAAAATGTTTGTCTAGAGTCACCAGCAGGCCAAATGTTTCCCTAAAAACTACTGGTTTTACCAAAGAGATCTGCAGTGTATTGTCCCCTATGAACTACTCTCTCCATCCCCTCCCTCTGTTCCCAGCCTTCACTTTGTTCCAGTTAGTCGCCGTGGGCTCAGCCAGTTTCTTTGCGGCGGCGTTGCTCTCGGCTCTGGCCTACAGCTACTGCTACCAACTGAACCGAGCGTCCGCAGAGTCCGCCGTCATCCACCCCAGCACCCCCAACCACCTGACCTACAACAAGCAGGGCAACGCCACGCCAAAGAACGAGAAGTACATCCCCATGGAGTTCAAGGTGGGGTGATTAGTTATATCTCTAGCCGGAGGTGGGAAGTAGTGGAGTACAAATACTTCGTTACTGTACTTAAGTACATGTTTCTGGTATCAGTACTTTACTCCACTACTTATTTTTCTGACGACTTTTCACTTTGACTTCTTACAACACAAACACCTGTACTTTCTACTTCTTACATGTTGAACACAAAAACCTGTACTTTCTACTTCTTACATGTTGAACACAAATACCTGTACTTTCTACTTCTTACATGTTGAACACAAATACCTGTACTTTCTACTTCTTACATGTTGAACCCAAATACCTGTACTTTCTACTTCTTACATGTTGAACTCAAATACCTGTACTTTCTACTTCTTACATGTTGAACACAAATACCTGTACTTTCTACTTCTTACATGTTGAACTCAAATACCTGTACTTTCTACTTCTTACATGTTGAACCCAAATACCTGTACTTTCTACTTCTTACATGTTGAACCCAAATACCTGTACTTTCTACTTCTTACATTTCCCAAACAGGCTGGTTCCTTTAGTTTGAATGTGTGTTTGGTGGCGTGATCATTATTATTTAGAGTCATTGCGTGCCTATTGATTTGAACACGATCCGTGTATCCATCATTTCCTGGTCTTCTCTAAAGAAGAGGGACCAATGAAAACGTTGTCATGTTGCCGTTGTTCAGCATGGAAACATTCATTAGCTAACAATGACATTATTGTTCTATTAATATAAAGGGAGGTCAGGTACTCTTTAAAACAGCTGCTAGTTATGGGTACTTTCTACTGAAGTACATTTCAAAGCCCTCTTTACTTTTACTTGAGTAAAGAAGTTTAGTCAGTACTTCTACTTTCACCAGAGTATTTTTAAACACGAGTATCTGTACTTCTACTTGAGTAAAGGATGTGTGTACTTTTGCCATCTCTGTCTCTAGCCAGCTGTTATAGTCTGTTTGACAGCTCATAGAGTGATATTGTGAACCTGGAAATGTTTAGTAACCCAAGGTTTAATGTTAGAAATGTATAGTACGGGTCCCCAGCATATAGAGTGCCAGTTTTTAATGTTTTATAATAGTTTCTTTTATTTAGCATATTGACTGGTTAATGTGCCATTTACTTGGTGTTTTACAACGTCTGCCTGTATTGTTTTGTGTTCATTTGTTGTAACTTTGATCATGCTGCCGTCTTGATTTTAATCTCAATGACCTGGTTACATAAAGGATATATATATATAGAAACTGCCGGATGCATTATGTTTTGCACAATTGGCACAAGTTGCATTAATTAGCATAAGCAGACATACTTCTTCCAGCTCTGTTGCCAGATGATTCACAGATTTGAAAAGGTGTGTAACATCTCTCTCCTTGTGTCTCCACCCTACAGACGTTAAACAAGAACAATCTCCACGTGAACGACGAGACGTGCAACCACTTCCCCTCCCCGCTGCCCGCCAGCAACATGTTCGCCACCACCTACTACCCCCCCAGCCTGGGCAAGTACGACTTCCACCCAGACTCGCCCTGCAGGACCTACCTGCACAGCTGAGAGGAGGCTCTGAACACAAAGCACCCCTCTTTCACTCTCACAAGACCCCACCATGAAGTGTTTCCTCACTCATAGAAATACGAGTTGCTACTGTACAGCATGCAAAGAAAATAAGGTTTGGAGCATACACCATTTAAACCAATTACACTTTTTGTCCCTTTCTTCCTAAACTCTAGCTACCAATGTGGAGGAAATCCTTGAAAGCCATTCAAAGGTTTGGTCACATGAGACACAATCCTCATAAGTTGCTGCTCGTAGTTTAATATTCTTCAAAAAGGGTGTTAAATCACAGTATAAAGAATAGTACATTCTGCAGGACTCGACCTAAATGCATAGCAAATGTGACCGCACCTTGAGTGTCCTTTTAAGTTTTCCGCATTCTTCAAATACACTCACAAAGTCTCCGGTTGCCATGAAAGCTGGCGGGCTTTTTGTTCTTGCCTATTCTTCAAAATAATTGTGGATAATGAAACCAACACTCACAGAACTTTCCCTTACTTCACCACCTTGTTTGTGCTCAGTGTGAAGGATCCAGACTTCCTGAACGATGTTTTTATCTGGATGTTCACCGGACTGAGAGGAGACCCATCTGCTAGTTTGGGGATTTTCCCTTTCCCTCATGTTCAGCAGGTGGGTTCAGAGGACTCAGTAATAATGTAGAATATTTACCCTGGACACATAAGACTGATATCTGTGATGAAAACCAGAGAACTGAAATGATTTGTTGTGAGAAACATCACCATTCTTCATCCAACGCAGTGTGAAGAAGCAAAGAAATTACTTTTTTTTTGCTTTAATGTTCATATTTAGCAGAAACAGCAACGGAAAAGACACTGAAGAAGACATTTCTGACACTGCTCACTAACGTATGTGCTGTACATTGTAAAAAATGATGTGTTGACTTTTCTGTTAATTATTTTCCGTATGTTCACAGATGTCACTGTATCATATTTGATCGATTTTGGGGCATTTTCTGTCGGTCACATTCATATTTCCGGGACATGGCAAACAGAATTGTCTTAGATAGAATAGAAACACTTTATCAAGTACATTTGTTTACATCAAATGTCTATTCTCCATATATGTTAAATATATTTTGCACACTTGACGACATAAATACTTTCAGGAAACTTCTTGGAAATTATTCTGACTCTTAAAGGTGGGGTAGGTAATTTTGGAGAAACCAGCTCGAGTGCGCTAGAATTTGAAAATACACAGCCGGAAAAAATCTGCCACTTCCTTACAGAGCCCCTCCTCCAACACACACGAACGCTCACATGACCAATGAGGGCACGAGATAAGTTTGTGCACAGATGGAAGGCTGACAGGCAGGTAGGCCATCCAGTTATTTTAGCCGGGCCGGCTGAAATGATTGGTCGTGCTTTTTACAGCACCACGGCTTCCACAGATGACATTTTTTAATGGATTTTTTGTCAAAGCACTTCAGATATTCATTGCTATCGGGATGTTAAGAGCATTCCATGGAATATAACAAAACTTGTATCTCGAGCCGGTTTCTCAAACTTACCTACCCCACCTTTAATGTAAAATCGTTTTACAAGTAATATGCTACTAAAGCAGGACCATATTTCTAAGATTTAAGTCACTCCATCCTGCAACATGTTTATATATCCCATTGTGTTTCTAAATTGTAAATACCAAGTGATGCATTCAGGTGTTGTGTAGCGTCAACAAACCACACTCTTACACAAAATACAGTACATGTGTGTATAAAGTGTACAAATATGTGTGTATGTATTTGGCCTACTCAGCTGAAATATTGGCTGCATCCTCTCCCTGTGCTGTGACAGAAAAGGTTGTGTTTTGTACTTAAAAAACTTTTTTAAAGATCCTTATGGACTTCTCCGTTCTGCTGTTATAAAATGATTGATGTGAATTTGACATAACACTGCCTTTTGGACACTGTGAACTTTTGCTACTCTATATTTTTGTATAATGTGCACTGTAAAAAAAAAAGGAGGAAAAAAATATGAATAAATCAATTTTGGTGCCAATATTCTTGGTTTTGCATGCTGAACGCTCAACCACAATATTTAAAAAAGTCTCAAGATTAAAATAAACTTTTTTCAAGATTTAAAAACGAGCATATGTCTGTTTTCCCCAAAGATTTGAACACCTGCAAAGTAGATGTTACTATCTTAATGTTAAGATTGTTGGATCTTATTTTCAAAATACAGGAACAAAAAAGTGTCCAAAAATAGTTTTTTTTTATCCACTCACTGATTTTCTTTCTGTCTTTTAAGTGGTTTGACTCGAAGACATGAGTTACTCTTTCTAGTGTCTTTACTCCCTCAGCTTCCATCATGTGTCTTTAATAATTGACGTGTCTTGAGAGGAGACATACATGCAGGTAAATCACCATGTTGTCCTTTATAGTATCGTGATTATTTTTCTATTTTTCCTGTAGGCAGGAGATCTTAAACTGATGAATAATAGACGCAAAGGAAGGTGAAGAAGGTGGAGGACAGGGCAGAAGTTACCTGTGCAGGTATTTAATTATTCATTCGTCATAAAAACCGAGTTCGGGGTTTTAGATTTGTTGCTCTTTCACAGGTATTTTTCAGCAGTGCAGCGATTTACTCTCACATTTTTAATTACAAACCCATTTACCTCCAAAAAACGTAGCACCCGTTCTCACATCGTTGCTCTGAGCTGCACTCCAGTGTTTATTATTCATAGTCCAGCGAGCAGGGAGAGTTTAATCTGCTGGTAAAACCTCTGGGTCACTTGGGCACTACTTTCATTTATTTATTCATCTGAATGTCTTCTTTGCTCTTCCATTTAGAAAACTGGATAAAATTGAAGTCCATAAATATTACAAAAAAACACTCAAGAAAATGCCTCAACAACGACCCCTTCACATTTGACTCTTGTGTGGGTTTTGGTGGATTCTTTCCTAAACGTATTCATAATTATACAAAATCATGGTCTCAAACACAACATAAGACTGTATTATAATAACTATTTCTACTAGGTCTTTCACTTATGGATATATGGACATGACCACAATGATTTTTCTATTATTTACTTATACTTTTTATAATTATAGCTTGATTTGTATTGACTTATCGTACATTTTAGCCAACATGATGCCAAAATAAACAATTGTAAGAATTGAGTTTTGCACAGTTTGAGTCCATTTTAACTTATATTCTGGTTGTGTAGTGTTATTTTATTTAGGTTTAACCATTAAGGGCAATTTAGACTTCATTTCACATCCAAAAGTTCATTCAAATGCTGCTCCTATAAAATCAGTCTGGATCAAAAGTGTCCAACCATGAAAAAACAACTTAATCCTCCCACTTTAAAGTTTGTTAATCCACCACGTCCACTCTTAAAAGATTTGACTGATCAAAGTGTCGCTGAACACGTGAAGACATAAATCCATGAAACAAAGCGGCTCATTTTCATATCTTTGAAGGACCTTATAAATAAAAAGTTCTCAGAGACGTAGAAAGCTGTTACTACATTTGTCGTTTCTTGGACTCACATGCTTCTGCTGTAAAGCCACAAATACGTGCCACTGGACCACGCGGCTGTCTCAAGGGATTCATCAGGCAACAAAGTGGTTTAAAAGTGGTCCAATCTTCCGGTTCAACAGCAGGAGAGAGCTATTCAAAGCATAGTGACTCAGATATTTTAAGGCTAGGTGAGTGCAGAGACACTCAGGTAACAACCTGCAGATGTGGAGCACTCAGCGTGAAATATATTGGAAAGATAGATGGAGGACTGCATGATCACTGGCAAAGTGTTCTCAGTTATTTTTGTCCACCGGAAGAGTCAAACAAGAATACAAATTGCTCCTGTTAAAAGGAATATGTAACATGTGTCTGTAGCTGATCCCCTGCTGCAGGGCTTTTTAAGACATGACAGACATGTTATTTACACAAACACAACTATAATGGTGTTATCAATGAAGTGAGCAAGGTTAATGGCTTACTCTTGTATACATAACATATTTTTAAGACAGATACACAATGGATTATGTGCCCAAATTCAGAATATTGACCTTCATGCATCTCATGACACCACCCTCTAGACCTGCAGCACTAAAATACCTCACCTTGATTACTGGCCCTTAAAACACCCTTAGCTGTTTTGAATGACAATGGTGCCATCTGCTGGGCAAAGACAGTCACAGCATGCAGTATTTCTAAAATTACCGGTATTAATACACCTTAGGTGATCCTCAGATCTAAAGGAGGGGTTTGCTGCAACCGTTTGCACAGCACAATATGCATTGAAATAGCACCAGACGTACATTTGGCTATTGATCTCAGCACAGAAAGTGTTAAAACACAAAGCTGGGCACTGATGAAATTGAACTATTTTGGCAACTCTACTAAGAGATTTGTACACAATTAGGCATGGGGATGGATGTATAATGCTTTGTGGGTTTTAAACTCCATATAAAGAGCACTATTTTGCAGAGATTAACAGTGAAAGCTCCAATGCATGACCTAATTGCCTACTTTTGAACAATACTCTATTATAAGAATATGCCACAACCTTGTTGGAGTAGCATCAACAATATTACTGTATAGGCAAAAGTACAATTTTGAGGTACCATGTGTTGCTTTTGTACTTCTTCCTGATAAGAATTCAGAGGTCACTACGTGTATTTAATACCTTTAGTTACTTTACAGATGTGGATTACTGATGTGAAATATAATCAATCAGACTTTAGTTCCACCTGGAGTAAATTCACAAGCTACCCTGCAGTATACAAAGTCATTCAAACTAGCTGCACCTTTACCAGCTTTGAGAACACTTTAATGATCAATCATTATAAAACATATCATATAACTGCACAATGACTACTTTTAGAATCAGAATCAGAAACAGGTTTATCACCAGGTAGGTTTACACGTATGAGGAATTTGACTTGATGTCATGGTGCATACATAAAAGTAATAAAAAACAAACGTATAAAAAAAGACGACAGATAACGAACTATATTAAGAACACTGTAATACAAAATATAGCAATAAAATAAAGCAGCAATTTACATTGAAACAGAATGCAATAATGTGCAGTAAGCAATATTGTCAACATTGTGTGCATTAATGTAATGCATGGAGTCAACTTTTTACTGTTGGTACTTTGAGTATATTTGGATGCTGATAATTTTGACTTTTTTTCCTAGTGTAAACTAAGTACAAAACATGTTCATGTGTATCATGAATTGCTCCCTGTTGCAACCAACCCTGAAAATAGTCACAATGTGCCTCTTTAAGACAGCTACCCTACTTTTCAGGCTAATTTAATCTCGCCCCCACCCCTTCGGTTTGATAAAAATAGTTCCGTCCATCACTCAGGTGCAGAAGCAGCCTGTGCATGAGAGAGAGATCCTGCAGGAAGCAGCGGAACACCTGAAGCTGGAGCACCGGAACCCGAACTCCCTCCGCTGGACCGGCCCGGAGCAGCAGCCCGGCCTCTGGACCGATGTCCTGGCAGAAATGTCTCGACACATCTACATACGGAACAAAATCGGAGAGGGCATCCAAGCGCCCATCTTTCAGGTTGGTTCTTAATGAACTATCTAAATGGATGATTACTTCGCGACAGTTACTTTACGGCAAATAATAACGAACAGTTGTTTACTCTGTCAACGCTGAATACCGAGTGAGTCTCAGGCAAAAAGTTGTACCTTTTTTTACATTTGAACACCTTTCTACTAAAAGTTGCAAGCTGGGAAATACTCCATGACTCCCTGTGACCAAAATGCCCTGATTTAACTCGGGTTTGAGACCTTTTTCTAACCAACAAAACCACTTATGTTGATTAATTGGTCTAAAATATGCATTTTAGACCAGGTGTACGTTTACTTACTTGAGAACTATATCGTTTTTCTATTTGGCTATACCATAATGTTCTTTCAGAGCAACAAAAAGTTAATTTCAGTGGGACTAACATTAATGTTTTTGTCTCTTGACATTTTTTGCATCATGTTAATGTTTTTATGGGTGGATAGATAGCATAAATATGGTTATAATTGAAATGTATATCATGTTATTGATTGAATAAATACTATTGCTTGTCAACTCCCAAACCATGCAGCATTTCATTTTATTGTGTTAAACTTAGTTGTTCATTCAAAGCCATTGCATTGAAATGAAATGCTGCTAGGTGGACCACAGCTTATACCAAATATACAAGAATCATTTCACGTTTTCTTCAAGATTTAAAATGTATTTTTAAAGG